CATATGGTTTCATTAACTTGTGGAACACAAGGAATGGCGTGGAGGATATTAGGTGAAGGAAGGGAAAAATGAAGGGGGGAATCAGAAGGGGAGATGAATAATGAAGACTGTGGACTCTGAGAAACAATCTGATGGTTTTAGCAGGGAGGGAGTGGGTGGATGGTTTGACCCAGTGATGGGTATTAAGGAGGGCGCATTTTGCATGGAGCACTGGGTGTGGTGCATAAACAATGAATCTTGGAACACTGAAAAAATAAAATAAAATTAAGATGTTAAAAAAAAGACAAACAATAAGGATTAACAAGGATATGGAGAGAAAGGAACCCTTGTATACTATAGGATGTAAGTTAGTACAGCCAGTATGGAAAACAGTATGGGAATTCATCAAAAAATTAAAAAAAAAATAGAACTACTGTATGATCCAGCAATTCCAGTTTGGGGTATATATCTAAAGGAAATAAAATCACTGTATCAAAAAAAAAATCTGCTCCCTATGTTCATTGCAACATTATTCACAATAGCCAAGACATGGAAACAACCTAAATGTGGCAAACAAATAGATAAAATAAATGTGAATAAAGTACACACACACACACACACACACACACACAGAATATTATTCATCATAAAAGGAGGAAATTCTGCCTTTTGCCACATCATGAATGAACCTGGAAGATATTATTCTAAGTGAAATAATTTAGAGAAACACAAATACTCTATGATCTCATTTATATGTGGGATGTAATAAAAATCAAACTCATAGAAACAGAACAGATTGGTGGTTGCTTGATGTAGGGGGTATGCAGTGGGAGATATGTGTAAGGGTAGTGTGATGGGGGATATGAGTAAAGGTAGTCAAAGGATACAAAACAATTAAGTTCTATATAGCACTGTCACTAAAGTTAATAATACTGTATTGAAAATTTGAAAGTTTCTAAGAGAGTAGATCTTAAAAGGTCTAATCCAAAGGAAAAATATGTAACTATGTGAGGTGATAGATGTGAAGTAACTTTAACATGGTTATCATTTTGCAGTATCAAACGTATCAACCATCAAATCATTATGTTGTATACCTTAATCATATACAAGGTAATATGTCTATTTTAGCTCAATAAAACTGACAGAAAAAAAATATACAAAATCTGAGCAACCAATAATGACTAAGTAGATTGAATTAGTAATCAAAAACTTCCCAAAAAGAAAAACCTAGGACCAGATGATTTCACTGGTGAATTCCATAAAACATTTAAAGAGAATTAACACCAGTCCTTCTGAAACTCTTCCAAAAACTTGAAAGGAATACTTCCAAGCTCGTTTTATGAGGTTGGGGTTACATTGACATGAATGTTATATAAAAACAATACAAGACAATACAAGCCAATATTTCTGATAAATATAGATGCAAGAAATTCTCAACAAAATACTAGCAAACCAAGTTCAACAGCACATTAAAAGGTTCATACACCAATATCTAGTGGGATTCTTCTCTAGGAAGCAGGGATCATTCAATATATCCAAGTCAAAAAATGTGATACACCACATTAACAGAATATAAGATAAATCACATCTCTACAGATGCAATAAAAGCATCTGAAAAAAATTCAACATATTTTCTTTTTTTTATTAAGTTCAGTTTGCCAACATATAGAAGAACATCATTAGTTTTTGATGTAGTATTCAATGATTCATTAGTTGTGTATAACATTGAGTGCTTATCACATCATATGCCCTCCTTAATGCCCATCACCCTGTTACTGCATCCTCCCACCCACTCCCCTTCTGCAACACTCAGTTTATTTCCAAGAGTCAAGAGTCTCTCGTGGTTTGTCTCCTTCTCTGATTTATTCCCATTCAGTTTTCCCTCCCTAGCCCTATGGTCCTCTGCATTATTCCTTATATTCCACATATAAGTGAAATCATATCAATGTATTTTCATGATAAAAACTCTCAATAAATTTTATATACAAGGAACATACTTAAGCATAATAAATGCCTTATGTAACAAGCTTGCCACTATTAACACTCATGCTCAATGGTAAATGGTTGAATGCTTTTCCTCTAATATCAGGAACAAGACAAGGATGCCAACTCTCACCACTTCTATTCAACATACTGTTGGAAGTCCTACCCAAAGCAATGAGGCAAGAAAAGGGCACGAAAGTCAGAGAGGAAGAAGTAAAATTGTCTCTGTTTACTTGATTTTACATAAGAAAAATCTAAAGACTCTCCTAAGAAATAATGTTTTTTAAAAAGCCAATCTGGAAAAAAAAAAGAATACTAGAATAATAACGGAAGTCAATAATGTTTCAGGATGCAAAATACGAGTACAAGAATCATTTGTGTTTCAGGAAAAGTGAACATTGAAAAGATAAATTAATGTAACAATCCCATTTGCAATAACACAAAATAGGATAAAGTACTTAGGAATACATTTAACCTAGGAGGTTAAACATCTGTAAACTAGGGGCGCCTGGGTGGCTCAGTGGGTTAAAGCCTCTGCCTTTAGCTCAGGTCATGATCCCAGAGTCCTGGGGTCGAGCCCCACATCGGGCTCTCTGCTCGGCAGGGAGCCTGCTTCCTCCTCTCTCTCTCTGCCTGCCTCTCTGCCTACTTGTGATCTCTGTCTGTCAAATAAATAAAATCTTTAAAAAAATCTGTATACTATAAACTATTGCATATTTATAAAAGAAATTGAAGAAAACACAAATAAATGGAATGATATTTCATATTCATGGATTTTAAGCATTAATATTGTGAAAATGCCCTTTCTACCCAAGGTCATCTGTAGATTTATTGTAATCCCTATCTCAAATTCTACGGTATTTTTCACAGAAGTAGATAAATTATAAAATTTATATGGAACCAAAAAAGACCCCAAATAACCAAAGCAATCCTGAGAAAGAACGAAACTGGTGGTGTCACGCTTTCTGATTTCAAACTTCATTCCAACATTATAGTAATCAAAACAATATGGTGCTGGCATAAAACCTGACATATAGATTAATGGGAGAGGATCAGGATCCCAAGTATGAACCATGAACCCATAGTCAGCTAATATTTATCAGGAGGCCAGGAATACTCAGTGGGGAAGGGTAGATCCTTTTATAAGTGGTATTGGGGAAAATTGGATGTTCATGTGCAAAGGAATGTATTAGACCCCTATCTGTATAGACTGCTCAGAAAATTTAACTCAAAATGAATTAAAGACTTAAGTGTAAGGCTGAACCCCATAAAAAATACTAGAAGAAAATATAGGGAAAATACTCCCTGACATGGTTTTAGTAACAAGTTTTTGAATATGACACCAAAAGCAAAAGCAATGGAAAATATAAATACTATATGATATCACCTATATTGGAATCTAAAAACAAAGTTACAGAAATAGAAAGTAGATTGGTGGTTTCCAGGGGCTGAAGATGGGGTAAGTATCAAGATGTTGGTCAAAGGGCACAAACTTTAGTTATAAGATGAAGAATTCTTGGGGTATAATATACAGCATATGGTAAATATAGTTAATATTTTAACTTGGGAATTGCTAAGAGCATAGTTCTTAAAATCTCTTAACACAAATAAAGGTAATTTTCTGAAATGATGGGTATACTAACTAACCTTATTGTAGTAATCATCTTGTAATGTATAGATACATAGATAGATGATAGATAGATGATAGATAGATAGATATTGCACATTGCACACCTGAAACTTACAGAATTTTATGTATCAATTATATCTCAATAAATCTGGAAAACAAAATAACCCAAACAGCAAAATAATACTGGCTTTTAGAAAATAACTCATTGGTTCCTATTGAAGGGCTCAGTATGATACTACTTCTAAGGTAATGAGATCAAGTCATCAAACAAAGGCAAACAAAGAAGTTGCAATGTTGAAATTTCAGACATTGGTTAGCAGATGAGGTAGCTATTTGGGAGCAACAGAGAGGTATTTGTTGCATTCTGAATCATATGCCGTATGCTATTATGTTCTGAATATAGGTTAGGATTGAACTTTAGATTTACCCCTCCCAACACACACACACCCTGGAATCCCCTATTCATGTGAATTTTGAAGTTTGTAAATACTTCTATGAAAGTTGCAGTCTTTGAATTTTTCCCTTTGAAAGGTCACAGATCTATTCCAAGTCTTACTTGTGTTCCATGAATCATGTCTTCTTTGCTTTCTCCCTCATTTACCAATGTTACTTTCATATTAAATATGGCTTCATCACTCTACCCTGGTGTAGAATACTGGACCACTCTTACCTTAGCTTTTAGAAACCCATTTTCCAACCAAAGACATGCTTTGAAGTCAGGGGCTTTTGACACAGGGATAGTTGAAGGGGGAGAAAACCAAATTCCTTTGAAATTAAATGGAAATTGTTGGGTGATTTGCAGGACCAAGTCTGGCATAATGGATCATGATGGCTTGAAAAGAGCTCTTGGGGTGCCTGGGTAGTGCAGTCAGTTGAGCATCCAACTCTTGGTTTTGGCTCAGTTTGTGATCTCATGGCCATGGGATTGAAACCTGCATTGGACTCCCTGCCCTGCTTGGAGTCTGCTTAAGTTTCTCTCTCCTCTCCCTTTCCTTCTGCCCTTCCCCTTGCCCCTGCTCTAGCTTTCTCTCTCTCTCAAATGAATAAATAAATCTTAAAAAAAAGAAAGAGCTCTGAACTGAGAAATCAAAGAATATGGGTTCTATCCCTTGCTTTATGACCTTGGGTATGACATTTCACCCCAGGTCTCAGTATCCTCATCTGTAAAACTACTGGTGACAACACCACAAGATTCTCAGTGATACCTGAGTAAACAGGAAAGAAAGTGTGTGTTGTTCCAAAATCTGTTAAGGAATGCACTTCTTCCTTTGGATGATTTTCAGTTCCTGTTCACACTCTCTAATATAGGCTGCCTTTAACTATCTGCTCAAAGTGGTCACGGGGTAATTTGAGAAGCTCCTTGCTACTTAACTTATACTCTTTCCCTTTGCTCTCCCATCTACTCTAGGTGTCAACTCTGCCCGCTCAGTTCCTCCTTCCTACCCACCACCGCAGGACCCGTTAAACCAGGGCCAGTACCTGGTCCCCGATGGCATCGCTCAGTCACAGGTCTTTGAGTTCACCGAACCCAAGCGCAGCCAGTCACCATTCTGGCAAAACTTCAGCAGGTTAACCCCCTTCAAAAAATAATAACTACAGGGAGGCAGATAATTTTAAAATAAAGTAAATACAATTATATTTATAGATGGACTTTTTTTGGAGAAGCACTGTTGAAATTTATATATATATAAATATATATACAGATATATATATTTATATATAGAGAGACACATATACACACACAGAGACCCTTGAGTACACACACACACACACACACACACACACAGAAGGACCAAAAAAAAGTTTTCTGTTGTTTTGGGGAAGTGAAATCTATAGTTGGTAGGAAGAGGTACCAATGACTTTTAAATATGTGATCCCTTCTTAGAAGTTTTCTGTTTTTACCCGGTCTCCCTCCCCTTTATTTTCAGAAATTGACATTTCTGTGTGTTCCTTTTCTTGTTGAGATAAACTCTTTGCTCCCCTGTGAGTGATTCATTAACTTGTCATTATTACCATAGATGTGTTTATATTGTTTTTTTTTTTCTTTCCTGATGATACTGATGCTGATAACTTTTGAATTTACTTTGATGTGATAGAGTTTGGGAGCACGTAATTTTTTTTTCCCTTTTACTTTTCAATGGGTAAAGGGAAGTTTCACCTTTCTCATCTCCCTCAGCTGACCATCTGTGAATGTTTCTACAGCCCTGCAGTTGCCCCAGACAGCTTTTTCCCTGCATCTTCTGTCCTCAGTCATGCCAGTCTAGACATGCTCTGTTGTGCCCTGTGACATAACTGCTCGATATTTCTATTGCTTTCACTGTGTTTTAGATGTTGTAGAGGGATCAAAACCAAACAGAATCAAGGGAGAGTCAGTATAATAATTCTGGAGAGGACTTCTGTTCAAGGAACATTCTGCATTTGGGCTCTTCTCCTAGAATTGGGGGATCCCATGTTATAGCACTGCTGGGTCATGAGCAATTTTGCATCTGGGGTTTAACTTGAGCCAATTATTCTCTTCTTCAAGCTGCTTTGGTTATGGTGTTCCTTTTAGGCCTCTCCCTCCCCTAACCTAAAAGTTCTGAACTTTAAGCAAAGGGACTGAGACTCTGCTGCCCCAGGGGAGGAATTCAACTGCCTCTAGTACCAAGTAAGCTTAAAGTTGGGGTTCCCCATTGGAATAATTTCAGGGGCCTGGTCATCCCTGCTTCCATTTTCAGATTACAGGCAGCATTTATGGGAGCCTATGAAGGGTCAAGACAGAGCCCATCTGACCAAGATCATTGGCTGCCTTCAAATTATTTACCTGGACAGGATCCAAGGCTGACCATAACCTCTTAAAGGAAAGAACAGGAATGGTCATGGAAAGAGGCAGCCCTAGCCCAAAATATGTACCTGCAGTTCCTACCACTCAAGTTATGTGAGACTTCCCCCATTGTTAACAGATTGCATGGACAGTCTTTCATGATTCCTTTCTTCTCCTCTCCCTGTTGTCCATCTTTTTCCTTTTCTCCTGGCACAGGAAAACTGCTGCTATTAGCATAGTTAAAGAATTAGTCTCATTCTAAGAAGGCCCTATTTCCAACATTGACCCATCCCAGGACATTGGAAACAAGTAAGTGTGGAGCTCAGGGAGACTTCTCTATGGAGAAAATATCTGAGGTAGAGATATTACCCTCAGGCTGATTTTTAGCAGTCTTTAATACTTAGGCAAAATTAACTTCTCCCACTAAGAGGCAGGCTCCCTGTTGGGTGCAGGAGTACCTATTCCTCCTCCTCACATAGCCCTTCAGGTTGACAGACCTTGAACAGCAAAGAGGATGGAGTACAAAGGAATGAGAATGGGCCCTGCTATGGAGAACCACTATAATGAGGAATCTAGAAATTGTGAGTTAGTTCTGGACCCTAGGAGAAAACTTCATCATGAAAGGACCTCAGCTTACTAAGCAGCAGCCATGGCTGCATGAGGCCCTAAGTACGGCTGAACTGATTGCTGCTCTATGCCTGTTGACACAGACCAGGCCCTGCCCAGCCTGGGAATTATTCCTCTGTGGGAATCAAATTACAAGCTGTTTGCTTTCATTCTGCCACATTCAAATTGGACTTGTGGGGTAAGCCAAGGGTAAGCCTGAGCTGGGCAGAGGGCTGGGGCTCGGGACTGGCCACAACTGCTCAGCAAATGATCCAGCTACTGAAGTCCTGCCTTGGCAAGGAACCTGGTATCCAGTGCCTAAGCTACAATGTCTTCCCTGGCAAAGAGCATTATTTCAGTGGCTGTGTAGGCCTCCCTTAAGTATACATTCTTTTCCTACTTTCCATTCTTCTCCACTAGGCTTAACCTTGATGTGTTTCTCCAGGGGCTAGGAGCAAACCAAGAGGGAATGTTTAATCAAGTCCCTGAGCCTACAACATCTCTTAGCCAAGTACCCTTGCCCTCCCTCCATGCCTTTTTCCCCTGAACCTGTGTCCAAGGCTCCAGGATCAGGAATATTACTTCTTGCCATCCACCTCTCATCTACCCAAACCGCTGGCCTCACCAGATGCCAATAACTTGTGAAAACAACCAGAAATCAGTTTACCATTGGTTGGAGTGTTCCCCCAGCCTATGGCAGCAAAGCAGACCAGTGACTAACAGCCCCAAGGGGAGTCCTGTTGTCTGGAATCAGGGTCCAGGTCTATTCTGTGTCCCCACAGCAGTGCTATTCCCCAAGAACTCTGTAATCTCCTCTATGTGTGCATGGCACCCAAGCTCCCCTTTTCTCAACTCAATGAGGCCTGGATTTGCTCTCCAAAAGGCTTTGCTAGTGTGTTTTATGGGCCCTGCTGTAGGATGGTCCTAACACAGAAATCTAACTCTTCTTTTTCTCTCCCTCTTTCCTCTTCTTTCTATGTGTATAACTCTAATGGATTTACAAAGGACAGCAAGAGAGTTCTAAAAATTCTAGTGTGAAGCCGAATAGTGATCTTTTAGTGCTTTGGGGCTGGGGTGGGCTGGGGTGGATGGATGGGTAACAGTGATTTTGATTACCCCTGCTGCTCTGCATTTGCCAGTTATTATTTTGTTTCTTCTGATTGTTTGACCCTGTCAAACAAGTGTCAAAGTTGTGTGTTTAAAAAAATGTTTAACAACAAAACTATGATGTTGTAATGACACAAAGCCTTATGAAAATATTTATGGAGTTCAATAAAAGAAGTAAAAAGACACTTCTAGGCAGAGTCTTCTTTCCTGTGTGTGTGCATTTCACTAATTGCAAAATAAAGGGAATTTTCCTGATGGGGAAAAGCTTATCCCAATCTAGTCTTGGCCTGCCAGCCCTGCTGTTCTGTTGTCAGGCATCTCATGGGCTGCCTGTGACCTTCCATGTCCTTTCTGGAAGATAAGTTTGATCATGTAATCAGGGACACTTAGAGTGTCTTTATACATGGGACAGTTCTTCATGTCACCTGTCCCTTTGATAAGACTTGAGAGCCCATTCCTGACCCCATTCCTTTTCCTTGCAGCTACAAATCCAGTATCTGCCCTGGACACTCATGGGAGCTTAAAAGCTGCTTTTTGAATCTAGCCAGAAGCCATATCATATTCTGGTTCTGTCTCCTTAGAGGTAGACATATTCCTTATCCAACCCCCCAAAGTGAGTGTAGTGACCTTACTGTTGTATTCATCATGGTGTTGCCTGCAAGTCAACACTCCTTGCTGCCTGCAAGGCTCACATGTAGTGTCTTATCCTGCCCATCAGAGATACAATAGTTTGTTCTGACACTGCCTCACCTGCCTGTCTCCAGAGTGACTAAACACTAACTCTAATAAAATGCTTGTATACTGAAAGGGACCAGGTAATTGTTCTAAGCTACAGAGTTAGGAGGAAGAGCAGATATTGTGCCTCTGGGTTAGGGTATGAGCCCTGTCTATTAGGACTAAGGGAAGTCCCTAATCCTGAATTTGGAGAATGTAATTATTAAAACATCTCCCTCGATAAACTTTGCCCTTTCTCTGTTTCTTGGCTCTCTCATAATTTAACCTCTTTTTCTACTGTCCCCACTTTTTCTCTTTTCCATGGGGTCTGCAATCTTTTTTCATCAAATTCAGAACACTCAGTTCTCAGACATCCATTTTCCATCTTGCCAGTTCTCAGTTTCATCAGCTTCCAAAGGTGAATTTCAGTTATGCCCTGCAGAGCAAGAGGACTACCTCTGGTCTGAATATTCCCCGACTACCTTCTGAGGGTCCTAGAATGGAGATTGGGGAGATAAATCCTGGGGAGGTCTTACATTATGGGACGCAGCTGATTATCTCCTAATTTACCTAAAATCAAGCCTTTCTCATCACCGGAAGAATTATTTCTGGAAGCTCCATATGGTCTACATGATCATTCATATTATTTACTACCATAAATAATGGCTCTAATACTTACAAGCTTATTTACTAAGAACATTTACCTACTTGCTGCCCTCAGTTTTGTTAAAAACTACCTATATTCACTGTTGAGAGTGCCACCATATTCATTGATGAAAGTGCCACTTACCTAATTAAGTTTCCAATTTGCCTTTTCTAAGTACTAAATTTCTCCCCTTGACTGAGGACAGAAGGGGCAGTAGATTTAAAGTATTATTTTTAGGGGACTTTCAAAGGGAAGGGCCTTAGCCAATCCCAAGATCATTGTACCAAGGATGATGGTTTATTATTCTACTTTTCCCCAGGATCTTCTGGGAAGCTCAGGGGTGGAGCGAGCTATCTGTGGTGTTCACAGATGGCCAGAACTAAAACAGAGAAATGAGACTCTTCCCAGTTTCCAGGAAAAGCCTCTTCCTAGAATAAGTCTCCCTGACATATCTATATCCTGGGAAGTTTCCCACCAGGTCTGATGTAGGATGCTAATGCATTGTTTATATACAACAGTTGCTCCTATTTTCAATGACCTTTCAATATATAGTGTCTCGTGTAATCCCCTTGACAACCATTTGGTAATGTGGATATTAACGGCATTTAACACAGTAGAAGCCAGAGGTTCATTTAAAGTGACTAGTCAAGGTTCCCCAGCTTGTGAGTATTCATCACGCAAAACTCACCCCCATTCAAACTGATCTTAGAACTACTTACTCTCAGAGTATTGCTGGAGCTGTGTTGGGAAAGCCTGGAATCAAAAATATGAAATGATCTGATACAAATGAATTTCACTCCTGCATTCTCCTTGAGAGCCCTCTTAAGTTTTCTAATACAGACCTCCAACATTTGAATGCAGCCATAGGTTTT